TCACGATTTAACTGAGGTTTCCAAATGTGTGGCCACATATAGAATGAAGCAACAGCAATCCTGCAGACTCAAAAGGAAGGTTGGCTACTGCGTGCCACTATCTCTCAAACACAACCATATCGGTAGTTTTTATGCCCGCAGTAGTGAACCGAGCTTCTAGTCTGGCAGCTCAGCATGTAATCGACATTCCGTTACACAGATATCACAAGAATGAAATACCGCCATCTGGCACCAACAGAAAACAACCGTTCACTACTGCGTGACACTTTCTCTCGAACACAGCCATGTGGGTGATTTCGTGTCACGCAGTAGTGAACCTCTCTCTCTCTCTCTCTCTCTCTCTCTCTCTCTCTCTCTCTCTCTCTCTCTCTCTCATTTCAGTCATTGCTTTGTTGCATGCGAGGTCCGCCAGAAGACCCAACACATGATATTTGCGAAATTGCACAGCGAATCGTCCAGCAGGAGAAAAGGACGGGAACAAACGGCGAAAACCCACGACATGAGCACTACGAAACGAATTTTTTCCCCCATACAAAACGCGGACCATACACGAAAGGTGAAACGTTTTCAGCACGTTTCAACAAGCTTTCAACACAGTTCAACAACTTTTCAACTAGTTTCAACACGTTTTTAACACGTTTCAACAAACTCTCAACAACTCTTCAACAACCTTTCAACAAGTTTTCAACAATTGTTCAACAGTTGGACCAACAGATGAACACACCAGTTTCAGTTTTTCCAATATTTGGTCAGCGTTGGTTTCCTTGACTTTTGGTAGAACACATGCTCCCCTTCCTGCCAAACAGTTTATAAACACAGTTCCAACGGTTGAAATATGGTGTCCACATATGTTCAACAAGGCCAAAAAATTGCCACAATTTTTCTGATGTTATCGAACGAAAAGGTACTGGCTACTCCAGGATCTTGTTTGTCTTCTTCACGTCGGGCCTTCGACCACTCGCGTTACAGACAAAACCCAAGATAGTGGCTTCCCTCATGCAATGCTTGGACTTTGGGCCGCTCGCTGTAAGGTTGTATTCTTCCAACAGGCTCAGGACCCGATCAAGGTCCTGGACGTCCTTCCAGACAAAACGCATTGTTTCGGGCATCACTTTGTCTTCCTCTCTATCTTTCGGACCTTTGAACGCCAAGTCATCGATATAAGGCTGGGTGATGTGTGGACTAACCGTCTGCATGACTCTAATCATGTGCCTTTGCACTATCGCTACTGCGTTCGTCCAGCCTTGAGGGGCTACGTTCATATGAATTAGCCCTCTGGGCGTATGCATTGCCGTTACGAGTCTATCTGGCGGATATACAGGAAACTGGTCATACTCAGAGTAGAGGTCTATAAGTGGAATTATAGGCCTCCCTGCGCATGGCTCTGACAATGCGTCTGCGTTTGGTAACCCTCCCACATCTCGCACTGTCACCGCATTTAACCGCTGCAAGTCCTGTACCCACCGTAGCGTCCCGTTTGGTTTGACGAAGCAAAACCACGGGGAAGTATACGGTCCGCTGGAATAGTCAGCAACGTGCGTGCGTATCTTGCCGTCTAGGTAGTCCACCACCATCTTCTCCTCATCCGGGTTGGGATACCGCGCGCCCCTTAGGTTCCATGGCGCATGTGGGACCGTGTGGATCCGAATCATCCGGATCTTGTCCACGTCCAGTCTCCCACGCTGATCGTCATTAAAGGCGTAAGCGCGATGCCTCTTCTTCATTAACCCGACCATCAGAGCCTTCTCTTGGGGTGAAAGGAATTCAGACTCCCCAATTATCAGCCTCCCTTCATTTTCCTTGTTGATACGGCACGGACCACTCGCTGCCTGCTCTCGCATGCGCCGTATCAATCCTCGTTCCCGCTCGTAATAGGCTTCTTCATCTTCGGTAACGAGCACGAGAACTGGGCAACACTTCTTATCTACCGTTTTGTACCGCCTTTGGGAACCCTGCTTAAGCCGTCCTCTAAAAAAGGCCGGCTTGCGGTTTGTGTTTGTGCCATCGCAGGATCCCCCCTTCCGCCCGGGAGTCCATAAACCAGCTCCACTTCTCCCACCTGAGGGCTCTCCAAAACCTGCTCCCTCAGCACCCTAATAGCCTCGGGTCTGCCATGTCATGCGCTGCCACCACCTCCATAACCTTATTTATATTAGTATGGCTCAGCGTCAGCACTTCGACCCCTCCTTCCTCCTCGGGCAGTTCCCAGAGCCTCCGTCGCTCGTTCTCAGATTCCTCAAAGGTAAATGAGCCAAGATTAGGCATGTTTCTCCCGCTCCCTGGTCCCGTGTTGCTGCAGGTGATGACCTCATAGTTCCCGCAAGCCGGGTCGTACAAGAGCAGGATCATCGTCCCATCGTGCTTATTAAAAATCAGCGTTTCTGTCCGACACAGGAACGACCTCCCCAAGAGAATAGAATGGTCGACGTCCGGCATCACGAAAAACAAGTCCTCGTCCGTACCTTGCCAATCTCCACGATCACATTTGACGTCGTGCCGCAAAAAACCGCTTTGCAATTGGCGCCATGTAGCATACCGTGGTCCGAACAGTCGACCTCCATTCCCAACATAATCGCTTCCCTTTCGCGGATGATGTTCATCTCTGCGCCCGTATCCACCATTTCGCTGCACTTCTGATCCTTCACCACCAAATCCACCTGGCCACATGCCACACACTTCCAGTCCATCCTCGTTCCTGCCTCGGTCCACTCTACTTCCCTCGGCAGGATCGTACTCAGATGGACATTGGGTACTTACCTTCGCGATAATCGCCCCTTCAAACCATCGCGGAGCCTTGGGGCTGACGCCAAAATGTCCTTCAAATTCATTAGGTCAGTGTGGCCTTCCAGATTTTTGTCCACCATCCTTTCCACATCAAAGCCCTCTTCCAGCCTAACCGCGTACTTCTTTCTTTTAGGTACGCTGTCAGGTTGGCTCGGTTCAGCTTCCTCCTGAACCCCTCTCTTCTTAGCCCTTAGCTCCACTCGTCGGTCCTCCTCTTGTCGGAGCCTCTCATTGTCCTCGCAGTCATCCTCCTTTTCCTCTTCCGGAACGTCCACCACCTCTTTCCTGCGCTCGGGCTCAGGTTCCTTTCGAGGGGGCGCCTGGCTAGGCGCCTGGCTGGGCACTTGGCTGGTTCCAGCCTTGTTCTGGCTTCTGATCCGCGCTGCCTGTGACACTCTTCCATGCGACGTGGGGGGCCTGTAGGTCATGCCCGACCTAGGGCCTGACCCCACAGTCGCAACCCTTGGGTACCCTTGCTGCCCCGATGATGATTCGGGCCCGGACTCATAGAGGAAGACTCCAGGGAGGCTGGCC